TGCTGTTTCACTGGAGAATATTCATCCTCACTGTCACAACTAGAACTACAGTGGGCCCCCTCCTTACGATATTAATATGTTCCTGAGAGCCCATCGTAAGACGAAATGATCATAGGTTGAATTAATTTTCCCCATAAGAAATAATGGAAATCAAATTAATCAGTTCCAAACACCCCAAAGTATGAAAAAATATATTTTTACCACATGAAATATACATTTTTCTACACAAAAAAAGAAGACATGCACAATATACTGTACTAAATAAATAATAAATGACACTTATCTTAACTGAAGATCTGGTGATGAGTGATGGGATGGGAGGAGGGGAGACGATGGAGGTTATTATTTTTTGGAAGGGGAATCCCCTTCCATCAGGACTTTAGGTAGCAAGTCCTTTTCTGGGGTTACTTCCCTTCTTCTTTTAATGCCACTAGGAACAACTTGACAGTCACTGGACCTCTGTTGCACCAAAAATCTGTCCATAGAGTTCTTTACCTCTCGTTTCTTTAGGATTTTTCTAAAGTAGTTCACAACATGGTCATTGTAAAAGTCCCCAGCACGGCTTACAATAGCTGTGTCAGGGTGATTTTGTTCCATAAAGGTTTACAGCTCAAGCCACTTTTCACACATTTCCTTAATGTTTGAAGAAGGCAACTTCCTCGATTTCTCTCTCCCCTCCTCTGGAGCAATTTCCTCAGGTCTGCTCTCTTGCTGCTGCAGATGCTCTTGCAGCTCATCAGTGGTTAGTTCTTCATCGTCCCCCTCCACCAACTCTTCCACATCCTCCTCACTAACCTCCAACCCTATGGACTTCCCCAGTGACACAATCGATTCCACAACTGGCATAGGCTCCTGAGGGTTAGCCCCAAACCCTTCAAAATCCCTCTCTTCTACACATTGTGGCCACAATTTCCTCCAAGCAGAGTTCAAGGTCCTCTTAGTCACTCCCTCCCAAGCCTTACCTGTAAGGTTTACACAACTGAGGATAGTAAAGTGATCTTTCCAAAGCTCTCTTAGAGTCAATGCAGTGTCTGAGGTCACTTCAAAGCACTTTTGAAACAGCTTTTGTGTAGAGTTTTTTGAAGTTGGAAATGACCTGCTGGTCCATGGGCTGGAGGAGAGGAGTGGTATTAGGAGGCAAGAACTTGACTTTGATAAAACTCAAGTCCTCCGAAATTCGCTCTGCCAAGTCTGAAGGGTGACCAAGAGCATTGTCTAATACCAGGAGGCACTTATGGTCCAGTTTATTTTCCAGGATGTAATTTTTCACAGTGGGGGCAAACACATGGTGAAACCAGTCATAGAAAAAGTCCCTAGTGACCCATGCCTTACTGTTTGCCCTCCACAGCACACACAAATTAGCCTTGATGACATTGTTTTTCCTGAACACTCTGGAGTTTCAGAGTGATATATGAGTAGAGGCTTCACTCTGCAATCCCCACTAGCATTACTACACAACAAAAGAATAAGCCTGTCTTTCATAGGCTTTTGTCCTGAGAGTGCTTTTTTCTCCTGTGTAATGTAGGTCCTGTTTGGCATTTTCTTCCAAAACAGGCCTGTTTTGTCAGAATTAAACACTTGTTCAGGTTTCAATCCTTCAGCCTCTATGTACTCCTTGAATTCCTGCACATAATTTTCAGCCGCTTTTTGGTTCGAACTGGCAGCCTCACCATGCCTTACCACACTATGTATGCCACTGCAATTCTTGAATCTCTCAAACCAACCTTTGCTGGCATTAAATTCACTCACATCACAACTAGTTGCAGACATTTTTTTAATTAAATCGTCATGCAACTGCCTTGCCTTTTCACATATGATCGCTTGAGAGATGCTATCTCCTGATATCTGTTTTTCATTTATCCACACCAATAACAGTCTCTCAACATCTTCGAGCACTCGCAATCTGTGTTTTGTAAAGTTACTTGCACCTTTTGCAACAACAGCTTCCTTGATTGCCTGTTTGTTGACCAGGATAGTAGAGATGGTTGATTGGGGTTTGTAGTACAACCTGGCCAGCTCAGAGGCACTCACTCCACTTTTGTATTTATTAACTATCTCCTTCATTTCAATAGTAATTTTCACCCTTTTTACCACAGGGTTGGCACTAGAAGCTTTCTTTGGGCCCATGGTGACTTATTTAGCAGTTACAATCACTAAAACTACTGGATTAATACAAAATGTTCCGAATGTATGTGTGGGAGTGATCGCACTGGCTTGTAAACAATGGCACACTAACTTAAGACAGGCCAGCTGAGGCATGCTCAGGCCAGACAGACACGTGGACGTGTACCGGATGAATGCTGTACGTCGGGGTCAAATTTTTACGCTGAGAAGCATCGTAGGTCGGTTTTAACGTAGGTTGGGGACATTGTAGGTCTGGGGTCCACTGTATTTTCAATAGCTTTGAAATCACTATCATTATCACTTTCACTGTTCACATCTGAGTCCTGTACACGGGAAAATAGTTTCCTCTTTCGTTCAGATACAAGTGAATGTGAATGAGACGGCCCAGCACCAGAGGTGGAAGGTTGTGGGTCATCTGGATTTTTATCACTAATTACATTATCCTGGGCACTGCTTTTGGTCACACCCTCTCCAAAACCATGAAATTCACTTTCACTGGCACTTCCATCGCTGTTAGAGCTATCACTTGGGAACAAAAGACCTCCAATCCGCCGACTAGTGAGGTACTTCTTACCGCGAGGCATGGTGAACAAGAACTACCAAGATGGCGTTCCCACAATGCACCACTGAGTCCCATATTTTTTTCACAGGGCGCACACCCACCACGCAGACCCATTCTCTCACATGTAGGCCTACCAGCTTTCTCCTGCTTGATTTGAAGCCAATAGAATTTATGCATATTAATATGTCAAACATGGTGGCTCGTAAGATGTATATATACGACCGAAACAGTCAAAGGGTTAATGTAAAATATATGGCCATGGAGTATGCTTAATCTTACAAGTTTAGTACAAGTTAAGATCAGGTCACAGCTTACAAGTGAAAAGAATTAACTGGTTATATTACTGATTTATGTATGAATTAAAATTAATAGTTGGATGTGCAGGATAAAAAATCGTAACACAGTAACTAGGTGTTTCAGTCACTACACAATCTGAGAAAGGTATCCCAGTATTCTATGACTCCAGTTCGGTGCCTTAATGCACGTGATTGCAAAAGTACAGTGTGCCATAAGTTGATAATGCAGTTAAATATTTTTGTTGATTTCAAAAGAATCAGAAAATGCAGTCACAAGTCTTCATATAGAAATCAATATTCCGATTTCTTCAATAAAAATAGTAAATTAGGACACAGAAACCAAATCTAATTTGAATCAGGGGGGACCAGAGAGACCAATAGCCAAAAATACACAAGCATATTAATCTTAAAGCTACTCTCAGATTTTTGCATAATCATGTAATCAGCATACAAGGACTGAAGTTAATCAGATGCAACACTCAGCAATTATCATATGAAAAGCAGTACTGTATTTGATTGGAACCTACACAGGCAAAAGTCTCTATGGCTGATCATCTTTTAAGAATTTTAGTGTTTATAACATACAAATTTTTAACAATGGTCTTGAAGGCACATAAAAGACCATTAAGTTGGTTAAACTTAAGATAAGCAAACAGTCAAAAATTACTTATTTTTGATTACAAGATACATTTTTCATTTATTTCACAGAAATCAATTTCATTAATAAAATTGTCACATGATAACTTTACACAGCCTTACATAAAAGATTGTTCCCTTTAACAGCTATGTGTAGAAAATGTATTGCCACATATTGTATTATCATAGTGTCATAAGATTTTTCTAGTTAAAAAAGTCAGCATCACTGAATTATCATCTGCAAAGGTGTTCTGAAAATATGTACTGAAGTAGGATCGATGGTGGAGCAGCCCCTTCTACAACCAAACTGATGAGAGAGAAATTTGAGTTTCTCTCACATCATTTATTAACCAAGATTTCTACCAGCTTACAAATAGTGCTTGTAATTGCACTGGTTCTATTGTAGGAAGTATCTTGGCCATGAATTTGGCTTTCAAAAAAAAAAAAAAGGTCACTCCTATTTTCTGCTAAAATCAAATCTACTTTAAAAGGTGTTTAGATGATTTGTGGAAACATGTCAACACAGATGTCATCTGCCCCAGCTCTTGTTGGCTAGCACTTGTATAGCATCAATGAGTTTGCTGAGAATGAAGGAAATGTTTTAATGTTCCTAAATAATAATGCTATGCTGTAATAATAATAATAATGAATTACCTTCCACTGCTTAATACTGTAAGTCTAGTTGAAATTGTCACTCTTGAAAGTCAAACATCACCACCATTAGACTATGGTCAGTGCATTTTCCCATCTTTAAAAAATTTTAAATAATATTCCCTTCAAAGAAGAATGCCTTAATGCTGTATGGCTCCTACAGGTTTAGCAAACAGCTATAATAAATAATAATAATTAACAGTTATGTTAAGTATATGAACTTTCTAATCCTTAAATCATTTTCTAATATATTTGGTGTTTACAAGTTAGTCTCACTTGAATTCTTGCTACAACATTCTACAGACATAGCACACAGCTTGAATTATTAAGGCCTCAGAAGTAAGTAATCCAAATAGCAGAGAGAGAGAGAGAGAGAGAGAGAGAGAGAGAGAGAGAAAAAAAAAAGTAATTCTTTCACAATATATAACATAAAAGTGACAACTAGGCAGATTAATGAACATGCTTTACTTAACTGTTAAATTAAGACTTACCTAAAACACTGTGTAATATGAACTTTGTGAAAGAAAAGTTACTTCTTATACAGTATTACATTTACATACATTTTTACAAATCAATATAAATTCAAAAATTTATCATTTTTCTTATTGATTTGGATTTAAATACACAAGATTTGTTAAATACTTACTGAAAAGCACATGGGAAAAATGGAAAGATATGATCAATACATAAAAATGTAATATATTGAATTACAGAAGTACACTGACACTTACATGTGGCGACGATTAAAGAAGACATAAAGAGCTGCAAGAACGCCTAACACTAGGATGATAAGAACTATGGGTACAATCACAGTGGCGGGTGACCAAGGCTGCCGTGGAATAAAACTGCGTGCCACATAGGTCTCACAAAGTTCTCCAGAGTAGCCCTCACGGCACTCACAACGAAGAACGTTAGAACTGTTCAGGACACAGATGCCTCCATTGAAACACCCACAACCTAGGGGTTTTGCTTTCATAGGCTCATGTGCTGAAATTAAAACGAATGTTGAAATAACAAAGACTAAACTTTAATAACACCTAACAAGAGCTAAAGCATTAACCAAAATTTATTCATCCATAAAATCATGATACTATATGAAATAGCCTATAAAATAAAAAAACTAAAAGAACTATATTCACCCAAGAATATGTTGGTACTGCCATATCATACAAAAATTCTTGAAATACCTGTTTTATTCATAAGTTTTAATATCAGTGTTGTATTTCATATCTAAGTTCACAGAAATAATTTGATTATAATTCCCTAGAAAATGGTGGTGGATGCATATGAGATTCCATGTACAAAATACCATAAATTTTGTGTAGGGAAAATGGGAAAAAACTGGAATTAAAATTACAACAAAAGCATTAGACCTTACCAGGAGTTATGAAGTGACAAAAAAAAAAGTAAGCTTTTACAAAGAAAAGTATTGTAAGCAAATCAGTGATTGAGCTGTATGCCCCTTGTGGGCTTAGTGCTTAGTCTTGATTGTAATAAGAATAATAATAATAAATCAGTGATCGAATAATAATAATAGCAACTAGTAATGCACACAAGTCCAAGACCTGGTTCACTAGACTGTTGATAATTGAAGAAATTGGTGAGAATTTTAAGCTATGTTGACAAACCATAGAACTCTACCCGGCATGTAACCCATGATTTAAAAGGTTTTGAAGTTTGGGTCCATGAGTGAGGTACTAACCACTTGATTTTATGTCAGGACTATAATTAAGGTGCATCTAAATTTGGCACATCAGATAAAACTAATCATGGGATAATCATCAGGATAAAACTGATCGTGTGTTAGAAATTACAGCTGGGTCCCACTTTACAGCTGTTTTCATTTATTCAGACTTCCTACAATAAATATATTCACCAGTCACTATATGCCAAGAACAAAAATATTTTAAGATAAGTAATGTGTGTACTGTATATGCATTTTTTAGGCCTAGCTCTATTGCTCACATAATATGTGATAGTGTAAACATTCTTCTTTCAACAAACTGGCCGTATCCCACTGAAGCAAGGTGGCTCAAAAAGAAAAACAAAAGTTTATCTTTTTAATTTTAGTAATGTATGCAGGAGAAGGGGCCATTATCCCCTTGCTCCTGGCATCGTAGTCGCCTCTCACAGCATGTGTGGCTTTGGAGGAAGAATTCTGTTCTAATTTCCCATGGAGATAAGAGGAAATAAACAAGAACAAGAACTACAGGTCCTCCATCACAAATACGGCATCATTGGGACCTGTAGTGTGCCGGATTACCAAGTTTGCTGGATTACAGAGTGGTTAGGTTAGAATACACATAATAAAATTAACCAACTTGACTTATACAAAGTTCATTAAACACCGGCAAAAATTGAACATTTCCGCTACTTTGAGCTCAATTTCAAGGTACTTTTCGTCATGAAAGCAATCAAAATCAAGTCTATTTCTGTAATATATCTTCCAATCTATCAAATGAGACCAAAAAACGAGAATACAACCATAAAAACCATGCGAAAATATACTGCAAAGAGGCGGCTAATGGCTGAGAGGTGAACTCCCTTATTTATCGTCCGTCTTTTTTATTTTTGTTGTACGTTAAGAAGCATCTTTCCATCATACACTGCCCAAGTTTCAATGAGATAGCCCAACAAACAACTGAGAAAAAAAAATATTTACCAAAAATCATATATGGCAAGCCCAAGCCAGGTACTGGAAATAAGTCACTGACTTTTTTGGGTTATCCTAGGTTCTCTATACATATACTGCTATGTATGATAATCTATGTAACTGTATTTGTGTATACAGTGGTCCCTCAATAATCATCCGGCCTGAAAGTCGTCCATTTCGGAAATAGTCCTGCTTTTTCGTCAAAATATTGGCTCGGAAATGGTCCGGTAACTCGCTAATAGTCCTTCATCCTGGACGCGTACTCACGGTCTGAGCCGCCTCGGCCTTTCCTTCCCAGTCAGTGTGCCACTGTTTACCAGTGAGCAACAGTCCCTTCACGTGCTCCAGCGAAATATTTCATAATATTTCATTTATTTTAGTGCTTGCAAGTTATTTAAGTGCTAAATAAGGTACCATGCCTCCAAAGAAAGCTCCTAGTGCCAAGCCTTTGGTAAAGAAGGTGAGAAATACGATTGAATTTAAGAAAAACATCATTGAACAATATGATAGTGGCGTACGTGTGGGCGAACTGGCCAGGATGTATAACAAATCCCGTACAACCATATCTTCCATCATAGCCAAGAAAAAGGAAATCAAGGACACTGTTGTTGCAAAGGGGGTAAATATGCTGACAAAAATGAGATCAGTACTCGAAGATGTTGAGAAGTTATTATTGGTGTGGATAAATGAGAAACAATTAGCAGGAGATAGTCTTATGACGTCGCTTATTTGTGAAAAGGCTAGGCAGTTGCATGACGATTTGGTAAAGAAATTGCCTGCAACTAGTGATGATGTGAGTGAATTTAAGGCCAGCAAAGGCTGGTTTGAGAGATTTAAGAAGCATACTGGCATACACAGTGTGGTAAGGCATGGTGAGGCTGCCAGTTCGGACCACAAGGCGGTTGAAAAATATATGCACTTTAGGGAAGTTTTAAAGAGACGCTAAAAACAGAGCTCTCTGGACAGTTTTTTTGCGAGACAGGACTCCATTGACTCTCAAGGTGGTCCTAGTGGCATTAAGAAACAGAGAAGAGAAGTAACCCCAGAAAAGCAATTGGTACCCGAGGTGTTGATGGAAGGGGATTCCCTTCCAAACTATAAACAATCCACTCTCTCTCCTCCTCCAGTCTCCCATACACTAAAAAGACTCTCCAATAAAGGTAAGTGTTATGCTGTTAATGTTTCATTCATCATTTCCCATTGTATTGTTTATGTACTACATGTATATTTCATGTAAAAATTTTTTTTGTTTTAATACTTCTGGGTGTCAGGAACGGATTAATTGAATTTACATTATTTCTTATGGGGAAAATTGATTCGTAAATCGTCCATTTCAATAATAGTCCCACTTCCAGGAACGGATTATGGACGATTATTGAGGGACTACTGTACCTGAATAAACTTATTTACTTCTAGTCTATCAACTGAGTACAAGAAACCGCCCATTCATTTATTTCAACTACCCAATCAAGTGGTCAGAAATTGGCAATTTGGCCGACTTCACACAAATTTCAACAGATGCCAATTTCAAAATAGGGTCCAGAATAAGCAATGTAGACATTCCTGGCACTAAAATAACATTTTCTTTGTTCATTAGTCACGGGTACAGGTCCCTCTTGCTTACCATTTGGAATTTTATTCACAAAAAAATAAAAGATTTACTGTTATGCAGACTGCTGCATTATTGTAATAATTGTATAAATAATGTCAACCCATTCTTGACTCCGTATTGGAATTTGGACTGGCAGGCGGACAGGTATTGGACGATGACGTCATTTGTTTACCCTTGAGCTTCACTAAAGAATAGAACATTTTCGCTATTGTGAGCGTAATTTCAAGGTACTTTTTGTCATGAAAGTAATCAAAATCATATCTATTTCTGTAATACAGTGGAACCTCAAAAATCGAACGTATCACATATCAAACGTTTCAAAAATAGGACCATTTTTTCGGACAAACTGTGTCCCTATTATCGAATGCGCCCCTATTTTCAGATCACCAGGTACGGGACCTGTCTGCCGGCCCGCTCTGTCCGCGTCCCCGCGCAGGTGCCGTGGCCAGTCTAGCTTTGTTTATGCTTGAGTGAACACTAACCTGCGCTCTCATTCACACATTTTACGATTATTTCGTTGTGTTTAGTGCTTGTGGGGCTGTGAAATAAGCTGCCATAGGCCCAAAGAAACTTGCTAGTGGTACCCCTGTGGTAAAGAAAGTGAGAAACACCATAGATGTGAAGAAGGAAATAATACAGAAGTATGAGAGTGGTGTGAGACTTGTTGAGCTTGCCAGGATGTATGGGAAAAACAAGTCGATCATCAGTTCTATCCTGTCAAAGAAAGAACGAATCAAGGAAGCTGATGTTGCGAAAGGTGTTAATATAGGGAATGGATGAGGTGCCTTCTTCAAAGATTAAGGAGATTTGTGCCAAGTGGAATGATGTCCAAATGTTTGTGCAGAAGTACCACTCTGAGCAAGCTGAAACAAGCCATCTTTGCAACAAATTCAGTGACAGAACCATGTCCCATTTTAGGGAAATGTTAAAGAGGCGCCAGAAACAGAGGACTGTGGACAGTTATTTTGTGAGACAGGGGTCCAGTGACTCTCAAGCTGGTCCAAGTGGCATTAAAAGACAGAGAAGGGAAGTAACCCCAGAGAGGGCTTTATTTATTTATTTTTTATTTATTTATTTATTTATTTAGAAATTTTAGCATACATACAGAGGTACAAAAAAAAATACAGGTAAGAGCAGCATGCCAAAGCCACTTATATGCATAGCATTATGGGCTGGCTTAAAATTAACTTAAGATTAACTAAGCAATGATGAAGTCCTCATGGAGGAGGATTCTCCTTCCAAACACTAACCCCAACTCCCTCTCTTATGTTCTTATGTTCTTATAGACAAACTGCTTCAAAAAACAATCCTGAACTACTTCTAAGAAATCGTATGATTCTAAATTCCCAGTCAAGAAATTCCAATCAATATTGCCATCACCAATCTTCAATAAAGGTAAGTAAAAATGTTGTGTAATTAAAAACTATAGTGTTTGTTGTATGTAAAACTGTAATTAATCTCTATAAAATGTATTTTTTGTGTGAATATTTTTTGGGTTTCTGGAACGGATTAATTGTATTTCCATTATTTCTTATGGGAAATATTGCTTCGAATTTCAGACTTTTCGAATTTAGAACTAGCTCCTGGAACGGATTAAGTTCGATTTTTGAGGTTCCACTGTATATCTTTCATTCTATCAAATGAGACCGAAAAAATGAGAAAATAACCATAAAAACCATACAAAAATATACCGCTAAGCAGCCGCTAATGGCTGAGAAGTGA